GATTATCATAGGAAGCAAAGAAAGTGTTTAACAGGATCCATTCGTAGTATGGGATTCGCCAACACCATTTCTAGAAGGATTGTACAATGTTGGCACATTTGTGATTTGTTATCAAGTTGGAATATTATAATTTTGCAAAATTAACGATTGTCAAATGATTTTTACCAATTTAGGTAATCGTACCTATATCGCTTTATATCACTGTGGAGATCATTAAAGCTGCACAAATCTACTTTTTGAGTCAGGATATTGAACTCTACGATGAGGAATCAGTACGTTTTCCTAAGCAGTTTCTCTTTCGCTGATTGTTTCAATAATGTTCTAGGATCGCCCAGTCGATTGCAGATCATTGAATATACCAGAAGAACTAGGACAGGTATGGGGGTTAAGCTGTGGTACTACACTGAATCGTAATGCAAAAGCTTACTATGCTTATTTCCTGATTAATGCGTAAAAATGGTAGATATTTAGGTAACTCACATACTATCGGATAAGACTGGGACACTTACTGAGAACATAATGGTGTTTCGAAATTGCGCCTTTGACCGTCGAGACTACGGTTCAGAAAAACATTTGGTGAATTTTTAGATTTTTTAAAGTTAAACTTTTGATTGCTAAGATTATTCTTATTTGCAATCCTTTTTTGCTAATTCTAATCCTTCATATCTCAGGTTTACAACTTTATTGAAGTCCTTTTTTTGCAGAAAGATTTGGATCCTACTCAGCCTGTAGCTTCAACAGCGCTTCAAGCAAGAGTAACAAAAGAATGGCAATCAAACGCCACCTTGAAACATTTCTTCTTTAACATGGTGTTGAATAATTCTGTTGTTGTGAACAAAACTCCACATCATGATGAATTAGAAGTAAGTGTCTAATTTTAACCGTCAGCTTTTTAGGTTAAATATGTTTGAAAGATTCGAAGAGGACCAAGGAAGTCAATAGTGTATGTTTCCGAAACCAACTGCTGACGCTGTTAATGAACGCCCCTCTGCTGGGCACCCTTTATACGAATTTATCGATTTCTTCTTGCGCGAACAGATGCGGCGCGTCCAATGTGCCAGTTTTCATCGCGTAGACTGCTATTGCTAGCTATTTATAGGAAATGTTATTAAGCCTTGGTCTGATTTTATGAATTTTTTGGTGGCCTGCTATATTTCTGATACTGTGTTTAATATACAGCATTTAGGTCGGCTTTTTTGAACATGGAATCTATAACATTGGTAATTCTTCATTCTATGATATCACCCAAGATCAATTCAAAGAAATGGTTGCAAAGGTGAAGAACCAGCTGCCTGAACTGTCAAGGTCCCTTTTTTTTCTATTCTTATTGCTCACTGGATATCTTGGTGGAACTGTAGAGTTCAATGTTTATTGCCGTGATTTCCAATGATGCTACATTTCCAGGCCGGAATCATTAAACAACCTGTCTAGAATACCAGA